TAACGTTCCTTCCCGCATTTCTTGCTCGTCACCCGTCCTTCAGAATTTTGGAAAGCCATTTTCGACCTATGAAGTATCCTTCTGGTAAGTATGAACCCTATCAGTACAGCTTCAAAAAATTCGGGTCTTTTCGCTTTTTTGTTTCTGCTTACTTTTCCTAGGCCGTAGGAGACACGATGGACTCGACCGTCGCTTTCTTTACATAGCGCCATTAAATTTTTTGAAATACCGTATGATGATACCACGATTACATCAAATGATTACCAAATTGCATAGAGTAACTGCATTCAGATTGACTCTACGATTCTGAGTGGAAGCAGAATGTTCGCATGTCCAAAAAAGATCCGTTGATGCTACATGCCTTATGTTTTTTATGGATAGAACAATTTCAGAAAAAAATATGGCGGGGAGAAAAAGCTCACTTCCGTTCCGGCTGTAAATATGTATTTGGCAAATTGTGCTATTGTGCTTGTACGCTCCTCAACCTTCTTGTGTTTGTTTTTCGAGCCGATCTGTAAGGTAAACTATGGTACCATCTAATGATCTGTGAAATAAGTTTTAAAAAATCTATCTGCACACAAAAATATGTCCCCTCATATCGTGAGGGTATGAAGAATACCTGTGCTATTGCAATTCTTTGAAAGTGTCCACTACACTGAGGAAAAAATATAAGGACTGCGTGATACCTTTGGTCCTAGATGTGGTGGTACCCGCGTTAACGAGATGTAGCTGAAGAATTTCGTCAATTTCACAGCTCTCCGTGGTAGACGTTCGCCAAGTAAACCGAATTTTTGGACACTGAAAAACAAATCTGAATAAGTGGTAGCCTAAGGAGTATGGTGGCTGATAGATGGTCTGCGAGGCAGCCTACTACTGTAGGGCACATATCTTTCGAATGCTTCATTTCAGAAACACTTGATATGATTGTTTTGCTCGAAAATTATCGTAGAGAAGAGAACCGGATTGTTACTGAGGAAAAAGCGAAGGGAAACCGACGATAGCGCTAAAACCAAGAGCTAAAAGTAAGGGCCGCTCACAGTGAACTTCTTTTTTTGAAGGAGGCGGTGTTACGACGACGAGATACCGGGGGCCGAGGAGAGGTGATTGGCGAGAGAGTACATTGGGTGTGATGACGCAGACAACCACGCCGCATAGGCCGTTGCTTCGTGAGCAAAGACGGAAACGCTCAGTAGCTCAAATAACAAGGCTCGTATAACGCACCTTCAAGTCGCGAAAACGGTACATATTGACTTTTCAGTCGCGTAATATGCCTTCGGTTGCTTAAAGGAATCCTGCGCGGAAAAATCATGATCCTATTTCTCCCATGAAACACTGACTTGAGTCCCATAGGTCACCATGAGAAAGAAAAGAACGAGAAATAAGAGTTTGTTTAGAAAAATTCAAAAAACCAAGACACCTATTAGTCGTTC